CAATTAACCTTAAAATATTCACGATTAGCTGACCTACAGCTTCGTACAGAGGAGCTGCCCAAATAAACAGCATCGATTGTTGTTACATCCATGAGAGCCTCGCGGCCTGATCCCTGGTGGACAGGTGGCTTCCAGGAGCGTCCTCTGTCCTCTGTCCCTCCCCCTGGAGACAGCGACTTCCCTGAAGTCTCTTAAGTCCCCCAGGGCAGTGAGCTGATGGCCTGAGGAAAGTGTCCGTCTATGCCACCCACATTGAGTCTCAGGTGACTTTCTGGGCATGGTGATTGCCCAGATGAGGCTGTGAGGTCAGGCCCTGGCTGGTGACCAGCTCCTGGAACCTCATTCCTCAGGCAGCTGGGAGATGGTGGCTCCCAGTCAGCCCTGCTCAGGGGGCCGAACCCAACCTTGACCACGGGCTCCCCAGGGTCACCTGGACTTAGGAGCCCTGGGTGTGAGCTTCTCTGTGAGGATCCCAGGGGGCCCCTCAGGCCAGGCCCTGACTGGATCCTCCAGGGTTTTTCTAAGGTCATGTTCATGCGGAGGGGACAGGGGCTGGTCTGAGACTGATCTTCCCCTGCCGAGTTACCCGTCACGCTGGTCCTTCCTCTGCAGGCAGTGTCTGCAGGGTCTGGACGCAGGAAAGGATTCTGATCTTCTGACGTTTGTCTCCCCTGTGTGTGTCCTGCACTAAGTGCACAAACCCCAACGTGGGACATGATGAGAGGGGAGGCAGACACAGTCCAGGCCTGATCACCTCGTGTTTGTGAAGTAGAACTAACCCACCAACACCCAGAGGTCACAGGGAATCACTCACGGTACACGCGGAACTGTCCAGTTACTTCTTCATTCTCAAGATCTGCCGTTGTAACGTGTAGGGTGTAGTATCCTGTGTCATTCAGGGTGACGTTCTGGAACAGCAGGGATCCATTGGGGTAAATTGTCTCTCGTCCACTGTATTCAGGCCCTGTGCTGTTTACCTGAGTGCTTATTATGTATTTTACAATTCTATAGTTGCTGTCCACCTTGTCCCCTTTGTACCAGTTGTAGCCTATAGCGTCCTGTGGCACATTGTAGACGAGTAGAAGGACGTCCTTCCCCTCCATGGCATTGAGTGGCTCGATTTCCATAGTGACTTGGGCAGTGGCGGGCGGGTTCCAGAAGGTTAAAAGTGAGACTAGGAGGGAGGAGAGAGAATCAATCCATATTGGGACCTTGGAATTGGGATGGAAAGGTGGGCCCTGGATCTGGAGCAGGTCTCTTCGCCCTCAGCCTTGGGGCATGTGTGACTGAGTGTGTGTCTGTGTGTGTGTGCACGCATGTGAGTGCGTTGTGTGTGTGCGTGTCCTGAGTCAAGGTCAGCAGTGTGACCACCATCACTCCAGCGCCTCTGGACTGGCCATGCCCCTGCTTGGAGTCCTCTTCCCAGGTGTCTGCAGGGCTCACCCCCCACTGCCCTCAGATCCCTGCTCACACTCAGGAGCATCTTTGGGACGGACCTTCCCTGGCCACCTCCTCTAGGGACTCTGGGTCTTCCCTTCCTGACCTTTCCCTGCCTGTTCCCTCTGTGGCTCTTGTCCACAGCTGACCTCACATTTGAGATCTCTCTGCTTGTCTGTCTTCTTCCCACTAGGACGTGAGCTCCATGAGGGCAGGGATGTGTCTGACCTTTGTTGTTCCCCAGAGCCTGGGACAGGCTGCGGACACCTGCGGATGAGTGAATGAGCGTTCCCAGGGCCCTCCGCGTCCTGGTGTTTATTTTACAATGAACATAAGATAGTATCTGACACTGGTGGGTAAGGGCCATGTTTGGTGCCCCTGGTTATGTTTACTTGAAGCATCAGCCTGATATAGTTATTACCATTTTCAAAATGTGGTGACCATCGATGATTAACCTGGAGAACACAGAGCAATTCAGACTGTCCTGCCTCTTTCCAATTCCAGTTCAATGTGACTTTCCTATTGTGACCTCCTCTCCCACTTTGTTGTCCCCTTCCCTCTTCAGGCTCCAACAGAAGTCCTCTGTCCCTCTCAAAGCCCCGTCCTCCCCAGGAGACCCCAGCCAGTGTCTGTGCTCCCTCCTCCCGCCCACCCCAGGGCATCGTCCCTCTCACCTGTGAGCAGGAGCCCCTGCCAGGGGACGCGTCCTCTATGCGGGGGGGCTGAGGGAGGCTCCATGGTCTCTGCTGCCTGCTCTGTCCTCTGTGCAGAAGAGCTTTGGCTCCGGGAATACTTTTGAGCACGACTGGTCTGACCTGTCAGCTCTGCTGTCCTTCCTCCCTCTGTGCTGAGCCTCCTCCTGGGGCAGGAGCACTTCCCAGGGTCATGGGGCTGGGGCGGGGTCTGTGCCAAGGACGCCTCCCTGTCCCCTCCCCTCTCAATCCTGCCTCTTTGTCCCTCCTTCCCCTTTCCCTCTATTCACATTTCAGGCCCCTGAAAACTCCTGAGGCCTTTTCCTTTTTCAGCAAGGATTCTGTCACCCCAACCTACCCACCACATACACAACACATACACACAGAGATAGATGCACACACAGACACACACACAGGTACAACCAAAACAGACTCACACATACACACGGACACAAAGGTTGTGCATCCGGCAAGCTGAGTGATGACTAGTGACAGGGACCCTGCCTCTCTCATTGGGTCTAGCTTGGACACAGCTTCCAGGACCCAAGTGTCCCAGGGGGAACTGTCTTCCTGGAGGTGTGCAGTGTGAGGCTCTCATTCGTCCTGCGAGGAGAGGCCTGTGCTGGTTGGTCAGTTGGGGGCTGTGGGGCCTGTGGTCACCAGGGGCAGGTCTCAGGCACTGTCTGGCTACCTGGGGTCTGGTGGCTGAGCTGCGACTCAGGGCCCCTCCAAGTTCTCCCTGACCGTCCTGTGTGGCCTCTGTCCTTTGTGCTGCCGACTGTCCTGTGGTGATGACCCTGCCTTCCCATGGGTGGCGCAGTGGGGTGGGCAGCTGCACAGGGACCCTGCAGGACGAGGCTCTTAGAGACCCAGGAGGGGGCCGGTGGGGCAGAGCAGGGGCTCAGACCTGGATACACCCATACTAGCTCCTGACTGCCTCTGCGGCCAGGATGGGCTCAGCCTCC